TGTCTTCAGAGCCATCTTTATCGTTTGGTTTCTGCGTAGACCTGCGTTCGCCTCTCTCGTAAACTCTACAGCCATGAATCGGTGGGCGGGGCTAAATGGGCAGCGATGTAGAATCGGTGGGTGGGGCTAAACGGGCAGCGATGTAGAATCAGTGGGTGGGGCTAAACGGGCAGCGATGTAGAATCAGTGGGTGGGGCTAAACGGGCAGCTCAGTGGGTGGGGCTAAACAGGCAGCGATGTAGAATCGGTGGGCGGGGCTAAACAGGCAGCGATGTAGAAGCAGGCGTTGATCTTCTCCTGCAGAGGTGGGCTTTCGCCTCACTGTTACGTCATAAAGTGGCACATTCCAAAGCGAGTTGTTTTCTGAGCTTGGTTTCAATAAAAGCTGTTTGTAAACTAATGAGAAAGTTTTGAGTTTTGAAACTTACAGGATGTTTTTATAGTACATTGACCTGTTATATGTCAAAAGATCAAGGGAAATTTGATTTCTCATTTCATGACCGCTTTAAAAGTAATGCATTACAATATTGTGTTACTCCATAAAAAAGTAACTAATTGTGTTACTTTTCATGGAAAGTAATGCATTACGTTACTTTTGCATTACTTTTTGTCACCTGGGCTGGGCTGGGCTGGCTTATTTGTTTTTATTTTTAATAACAACATTTTATATTTTTGGTGACTGTAAAGGCCCTTTCACACCAAAAGTGAAATGAACAATCCTCAGGCTGAAGGAAATGCCTCTGTCTCTGCACTTACTTCTGATTACTCTATACAGAATGCATGGGAAAAACTAACTTGCGTTGCTTATTTGAAAAAGTACCTCAGATATTTAAATTTAAAAGTAATGTGTTATTTTCCAAGTTACTTGAATAAGTAATCTGATTACATAACTTGTGTTACTTGTAATGCATTACCACTAACTCTGGCGGTCCTCCTCTCTGTATTGAAAAAGTGCATCTGCTTTTTCTCTACTGTGAAACTCATAAGTCATAGACCCTTCACTGTCCGTCATCATTGTATGGACTAACACAGAAGAACATGATCGGTTGCCTCAATCATTACTCAATAAAGAGGCTCAATCAAGGTCTACATTTATCAGTTCCTGCATTTTCTCGGAATCGAACCCTCAGCCTTGTGTTTCCAGCACCATGTGCTGCAGGACTGGTTAGCGGCAGGTTAACGTAGGGTTTATCCGTTCCAGTTGTGTATGTAGGCGCTCTAACCGAGGCTTTGAACTTTGATGGGATCCTCATGGGTGTCTTAGGAAGCGGTCTGGGGTCCGGGGTCTCGGGGCCGTATATTGTAACCCCCTCCTCGTGCTCTCGTCTGCTTCTCATTGCTGTTTGATCACCTTCGTCAAACTGCCTCCCTTTCAAGTGGTCTTCAATTCCCGCCAGAGATCCCGGCGTCTCAGGACATCAAATGTGCACTTTGACAAACAGCCTTTACCCGTTCTCCCTCACTCCCCGGGGAGCCTGTCCCCGCTGCTGAGAGCGCTGGGCTGAAGTACTCGGGGAAAGCAGCGGGTTTGGAGGGTGAAGTGGATGCTCAGGAGCGTTGAGGAAGGGAGAGAGACAGCGAGGGGAAGATGGGTTGGAAGAGGGGAATTCCTTTGATGTGGCTTTAAATTATTATTATTATTATTATTATATATAATAATTAATAAGCAGTAAAGCAGGTATGTTATTAATATTATGATTTTTATTATTTTAAATTATTATTATTTTTTTATTACATCTTAATAAAGGACGATAAGTCTCAGATAATTATGAGACTACATCATTTGACCTTTTATGATAAGGCAGTGTTAGTTCAGGTTGTAAAGATTAATGTGATTACAAAAAAATTAATAAATAATGGATATTGTTAAAATAATAATTCCTGATTGAAAATAGCTGAAAAATGTATTAAATTAGCATGTGTAGGAATGATTAATGTGTACTTGCTGTAAGCAGTAATCACAAACGCTGAGCTCTAGGCCTGTGGATCGAGCTGAAGCTCCTGAAGACAGCATCACAAAGACTCCAATCCTGTCTCCTTTCCTTTTCTTCTGAGAAATATAGCCCTCCCAACACAATCCATTACCTTCTATCTTCAGCCTCACCGGCTTCAAACAGCTCCATTGTGATTCATGCTAGAATAACAGAAGATGTGCAGTAAATCTTCAAAACTTCAAGCACGTAAAACAGCTTTTAAATGAACCTTTGCTCAGCTCTGGCTTCACGGCAGCAAACGTTCGGCTGTGCTTCGCTTCAGCAGGCCTTGCTTTTACTCACACTGTGAGCGTATGTTTATCGCCGCTTTAAAACTTCGTCACGAACGCCATGCAAGCCATAAGAGGAGCGACTGCTTTCATTTAGTGGCTTTACTTCTGAGACAATGGAGGTCAATTCCTCAACCTCAGAAGAACAACAGCGGCACAAGCGCCAGATTTACTGCACGTCCATCGCATTAAAAAGCAGCGGTGTCGTCTCGATTAACCACCGCGTCCTCTTCACCGGTGGGATGAAAGGAAAGGCTGGTGTGTCTCACTTCATTTAAAGCCAGACGCTCTGAGACGGAAAGCAGAGCTCATCCAGAACCTCCTCCAACTGAAGAAGAGCACTTAGCAGAGAAGAGGCAGAGATGCAGAAGAAACAGATCAAATCACGCTGATGAAAGGAACGGGTCTGGATGAGACGCAAATGGAGGACGGCTGAGATGAAAGCACTTCATTCTGATAATGAAGACTTTTTCCGGAGGAGCATGCACAGATGAGAATGTTTTTCTAAAGTTTTCAAAGCACAGGAGCTTCTCCAGCTCTGCGAGAGCTCCCAGTCACAGATCTGCTCTGATTCTGCTGGGTCTTCTGCTGGATGTCTCTGGGATTCCTCCGCCTGACGCTCAGCGGATCACGTCTACAAGCACACGATGGAAGCAGTGTTAACGCAGCTTTGCAGTGATTTGTCAACAAAGATGTTTTCAAGGGACCACATTTTTGAAAATATACAAAATATTTATTGTTATGCTGATATTATTTACAGTTTTTTTCAACTGCTTGCACACAAAATCTTTACTTGTGACACAGTTTCTGAAAGCTGACACTCAAACAGCAGAAGCACACACCAAATCTGCAAAACCATACACTAATACTCAGCCTTTGACTCGGTTTTCAATTTCATAAAACACTTTTTGCAAAACACAACACAATTCTCTATGTAACACACAAATCTATCAGGAATTAATATTGTGGCAAATGTTAGCTTTTGAGACGTGTTTGTGATATTGTGAATGCAGCGCTTCATTTTGCAAGAGATCAGAGGCTTTTTGTGTGCAATTCTTGGATTTGTGTGTAAACAAAAATTTATTGAATAAGAAAAACACAAAATATACTGATGTTCAAAAGTTTGGGGTCAGTTAGTTTTTTAAATATTTCTGAATGAAGTCTCTTCTGCTCACCGAGGCTGTGTTTATTTGATCAAAAACACAGTAAAAACAGTGAAATATTATTCCAATGTAAAACAGCTGTTTTCTATGTGAATATCTGTTAAACTGTCATTTATTTCTGTGATGCGCAGCTGTATTTTCAGCATCATTACTCCAGTCTTCAGTGTCACATGATCTTCAGAAATCATTCTAATATGCTGATTTGCTGCTCGAGAAACATTTCTGATTATTATCAATGTTGAAAACAGTTGTGCTGCACAATATTTTTGTGGAAACTGTGATACATTTTATTTTTCAGGATTCACAGATTAATAGAAAGTTCAAAAGAACAGCATTGATTTGAAATAGAAATCTTTTGTAACAGTATACATGTCTTTACTCTCACTTCTGATCATTGTGATTTGTGATTTTCTTTCATTGATCCTATAACCTTAAAACACAATGCAATGCAATTCATAACTCAAAATACATTAGATTTGCATTAGCAGTGCTTGTTGAATGTAAGCACTAATCAAGTACTCCATAGTTAGTCTCCATATATAGAGACCCATCCTGATTTACTGCAGCTGCCCTTTTCAAGATACTCAGTCTGACTGTTTCTGGGTGAATTCAAAGCGTAGAGTGAAATCTGGCGATCAGATGGACTGAACTCTCTCTCTGCTTCTCTGTGTTTCCAGATCCGTCCTGCTGCCATCATGCTGCAGAGCTCTTTCCTCAGTGTCGAGGAGCCTGTGAACAGGTGAAGCAAAAACATCCTTTCTCCCAGAGCTGCTGCTCATATTACACCAGTTCATATCTGTGCTAATTACAGGACTGCCAATCAATAAAAAAAAGTGTCATTTAATTTGATACTGTATCAAAACGGTTTAGTTTCAATGTTTGCTTCCAAAGACTTTTAGTTTGTATTTCCTTGTTTTCCACCAGTTTCCTTTCTTCTATAGTCACTAGTTTGTTTTCATAGTAACTGCTGATGTTGTTCACTTGTTTAGTTCTCATTCGTCTGTGTCTATATGAGCGATAAACACCACACAGCTGAACAACATGATCAGTGAGAACAGAAGTGACTAGAAGAAAGGAAATACAAACTAAAAGTCTTTGAAGACAAACACTGAAACTAAACCAAACGTTACAATTACATGATATACTGCTTATTTAATTAAATGATTTGCAATCAATCACAGCCAAATCAAGACAATTCAAAGACAATAAAACCTACGGATGAAGAAAGCATTTCATAGACATACAAAACATGTTTTTTAGAGGTTAGTAATAATTCCTTTTTACAGAATTGTATTTTTTGTATTGCATTATTGGAAAACATCTAAAATAGCTAAAATTATTACTATTATTCATCTGTCCATTAGTTTTCCCAGGTTTGGAATTTATGGCTTTTAGACCTATTTGAAGTTTTTTTTCTTTTTATATATATATATATATATATATATATGTAGGGTTTGAAATTAACACCCGCCAACCCGTCAAATGCGGGTAAAAATCAGCTGTGGCGGGTAACGCTGTCAAATCACTAGCCAATTTGGCAGGTTACTTTTCGTAAATTATGTTTACTAAT